AAGGAAGGAAGGAAGGAAGGAAGGAAGGAAGGAAGGAAGGAAGGAAGAAAGAAAGAAGGAAAGAAAGAAAGAGAAAGAGAGAGAGAGAAAGAAAGAAAAAAAGAAAAGCAGAAAGCTTTCTGCCACGTGAGGATACAATAGGAAGTCAACACTCTGCAACCAGAAGAGGGCGCTCACCGGAATCTAAACATGCTGGCACCCTGATCTTGGACTTCCAGCTTTCAAAACTGTGAAGAATAAATGTCTGTTGTTTATAAGCAACCCAGCCTATGGTGCTTAGACAAGCCTTAACAAAAAGCAAAGAAAAACATCCAACTAAGAGGATATCCTCTATACTCAAAAACTCAAAAATAACTTCCAGATTTGAGCCTATACCCTGCTTATCTCAGTAATCAGAGTAAGTGCCAGTGGACTACTCCCTAATATTTTTTTTTCTTTTTAATTCACATGAAGCATGAATACATGTGCTTGTTAATAGTCGAGACAGTGCTGACTAAGCAGAATACTAGAGGACTTTTTCAACCACCACTGTAACATCAGCCCTTCCTCAGGGGAAAACATTATCAATAATTTTTGACTTTTCCATTCCAGCTTTCTCCCTGTATATGTGTCCATAGACACATGCAAACATGAAAGCCTTTGTTGGGGGGGTGGGCGGAGAGGACAGGATTGTTAGCAAAAATGATACATTGTTCTATGCTTTACTTTTTCGCTTAATAACATTACGCCAAGATATTTCCATGTCAGTATGCATAGACTTCATTCATTGTCTTTTTAAAAATTGATATAAAGTATTTCATAGTATATTGCATCATAGATTGCATTCCTCTGTTGATGAGTATTTAAAGGAGTGTGGGGTTATTTTTTTTTTCCAATTTTAACTCTTACAAACAATGCCACAGTAAAAACCCTTGTAAATGTTTCATAATTTACACATGTAAATGTTTCACTAGGGTAAATACTGAAAAGTGGAATTATTGGGTTAAAAGCGTGTGCATATAAATCAAAATCACAATGAGATACCATCTCATGCCAGTCAGAATGGTGATTATTAAAAAGTCAAGAAACAACAGGTGCTGGCGAGGCTGCAGAGAGATAGAAACGCTTTTATACTTTTCTTCTTATTGTTGGTGGGAACGTAAGTTAGTTCAACCATTGTAGAAGACAGTGTGGCAATTCCTCAAAGGCTTAGAACCAGAAATACCATGTGACCCAGCAATCCCATTACTGGGTACATAACCAGAGGAATATAAGTCATTCTATTATAAAGATACGTGCACGTGTATGTTCACTGCAGCACTATTCACAATAGCAAAGACATGGACTCAACCCCAAAGCCCATCAATGAGAGACTGGATAAAGAAACTGTAGTATATATATACCATGGAATACTATGCAGTCATAAAAAGGAACAAGATCACGTCCTTTGCAGGGAAGTGCATGGAGCTGGACGCCATAATCCTCAGCAAACTAACATAGGAACAAAAGCTAAACACCCCATGTTCTCACTCATAAGTGGGAGCTGAACAATGAGAACATATGGACACAGGGAGTGGAACAACACACGCTGCGGCCTGTCATGGATGGGAGACCATCAAGAAAAATAGGTAATATATGCTGGACTTAGGACTTAATACCTAGGTGGTAGGTTGATAGGAGCAGCGAACCACCATTTACCTATGTAACAAACTTGCACATCCTGCACATGTACCCCAGAACTTAAAATAAAAGTATGTACATAATTTAAATGTAAGTAGAAATTGTGAAATTGTCCTTTAAAAATCCAATTTTTTTCACACTGTCTGTAAAAAGAATTGCCCTTTTGTACCTCTTCTAATACTTGATAGTATCAATAATTTAGATGTTTCTAATATGTTGTATATTTTAAATGGTTTCTTGTCTTAATTTGCATTTTCCTTATTACCAATGATCTTGAATCCTATTCGTGCTTGCATCCCTCATGCCTAGCAGAGTCATTGATACAAAACAAATTCTAGTAAATATTCTTATAAGGTCTACCAAATATACAATTGCAAAAGCAAAAACCGTTTACTAGATGCTGTGCTAGAAGGGGTACTAGACACTTTATATGCATGACCTCAATGCCTTCAACAGGTCTCTTAAGTATTTCTTTTTCCTTCCCATTTTACAGTAGAAAAACAGAAGCCCTGCAAGGTTAAGTAAAGTCTTAAGATCACATCGGCAATATGACAATATAAAACTCCAGCCCAGGCCTGACTACAGAAACTGAGTCACTTTCCACCTTAGCACTCCCAAGTTCTGATTGAGCACATTCTTTGTACAAGAAGCTACAGAAGGTCCCAAGATCATGTACCCCTACTCCAGATATAACTGGGGAGCTCTGACATGAGTACAGAGAATCAGCAGAGTGATTTTACTACTTGTTGGAAACAAGCACTTGGCATAACCAAAAGAAAAATGCACTTAGAAAATTTCTCAGTAAGGCACCTTTACTTCTGCAGAAGGGCTCTGCTTATACGGAGAATCAGCAGAGTGACTTTACTATTGGAGCTTGTAACTTACAGCTCATGCTTTCTCCCCCAGAGCACATTTGGTACTCACACAGCTCCTCAGGTAGACAGGGCAGGTTGCTTAAACATGACTCACCCCAGCTTACAGATGCAGACCCTGACTCTCAGAGGGTTTATTGGCTGCCCAAGAGCACACAGCTGGTGGATGCAGAGGACACAAAGTGTCCAAGGAGGGGCCTGGGCAGGATGGAAATCAGACTCCCTAGGGGATGCTCTGCAGGCTGGGTAAGCCAGGAAGTTTCTAGTAGAAAAGGAAGGACTTGACTGGGACCTTGGATATGGGTAGGCAATGGGTGGAGGTGTGGGAAGGATGAACAATGAATAAATTCGATGTCTTAAATGTGAACATCAAAGGGACAGAACCAGTGTTTTTTGGAGCTAAGAGTCACACAATAAAGGCTGATCTGATGACCCACAGCAGAACTTCACACTTTGTCTTCTCTGTGGCAAGCATGGTGATCCCACTCCTTCCTCCATGACCCCTAAAGTTTCTGGGGCCCTGCTGTGATCTTTCATTCAGGACCTTGCATTTTAAAAGGTTGGCTTGGGAGTACAAGGCCAAAGTGGGGAGGGCAATTAGGAGACACCCCAATTTCTAACTTCCACGGGAGTTTCCATGAAAGTCTCCATCACATCCTCACCCTGTCTCCACTGCCAGGCAGAGGCGCTACCACTGCCGACATGCTCAGAGCGCTCCACAGTTTACAGAATTGCTCTCTGGTCAGGGGTGTTTGTATTTTATCTGATACCTGAAACTTTTACAATTCCAGGGACCCACAATTAGAAAAAGAATATAAAATAACAAAATTAAAAGTACGTTAGGTGATTAATTATTTAGAATTAGAAATAAAAGTTTTGTAAATAACAGAATGTCAACAGCGGACAAATACAGTATCATGAAATCTAGAAAACAAGCCTGTTTATTTTTAATTATCTGCCTGATAACACCTTTATAAACTTTCTTTCGACATTTTGTGTCTGCACACTCTTTGATCCTCTTTTCATATGATTTCAATGATTTGCTACACTTATTCATATAGAAATAGTAAAAAACTAATTCAGGCTTTCTTCTAGCATGATTGATTAAAACTCAAGTTTCAGTCATAGTATTTGGGAGGCATGAAACATGACTTTGCACACAGACATACTTGCTAATTGTGGTGCTGTGGTACCAATGGCCCCTTCCATCTGACTGCAGCCTGGCCCCAGCCTCAAATTGGATACCCTTCACAAAATACAAGTATTTTGAGAATTCTATTTTAAAGTATTTTGAGAATTCCCATCAAACAACCAAAAAAAGGTAGTTTTATAATTATATATCTTATCATATAATTTTATATTATATATATTTTATATATTTATATGTTTTATACATTTTATACATTATATAATTTTATATATGATCATATATTATATAATTTACATATATAATTTACATAATTATATATATAAATATATACATTATGTATTATATAATTATAAAACCACCATTTGTATATATGTCACTGATGATATTCTTAACAGGAAAGACCTTCTATTTGATTATTAGATGAGAACCAAACATCTCACTTCAGGCTGCACGTCTCACAATTAGAAGCTCCTGCAGACTAGCTCTGGTTGTGTACTTTTCACACCTTGCTTGTCCTGCACCAGCCACAGGTGTCTGCTGCCTGGTGCCATCAGATATGTCATATTGTTTTTCAACCTCTGACCTTACACTTCTGTGTCGTGATACCCGGTGAGTCTGCAAAGTGAACAGCAAGAGGATTTCTAGAAGCCCTTCCTCCCCAAGGACAAGCAGCAGTAACCTAACTATTTCCAAAAGTGACTGAGACCATAGGAATATCTCCCGCTGAACTCATGCAAATACATTCCCAAAGCTAATCTGGCCCAAGGTCACTCCATGCCACTTGGCCAGAGGGTAAGTGGGTTGGAGAGGAAGTCAGGATAGAAAGAGACAATTATCTTAACCAATTACAGATATAACATCTTCTGCAAATTTTACAAAAGGATGTAATCACGTGAATTTAGACCCTGAAGAATCATCTTTGTTAACCTAGTGGTAAATTCATCTCTTCTCTGCCTTCTGACAGGATCCTAGCTCCATCAAAACCCTATGAATAAATATTCGTAATGGTGACTCTCCGCTTGTGAAAACAGACATAATGAACATAAATTTGAATACAGACTGACTCTAGCCCTGTGTTTTTGGGAAAGTGGCTTATCTGCATTTGAAACTTAGTTTCCTAATCTGTAAAATGGAAACAAAGATGCCAATTGCCTGAGGCTGCATTGAGGATTAAACAGGCTGTCACAGCTGAAAGCCAAGTACAAAGCTATTGGAGTTGCTGTGGTTACACACTGAATGAGGAAGTGGAAAATGGGGATGTCTGGAAGCCAGGCCCCAGCTTCCTGTGCTAACAACCTCTAAGGTGCCTTCAGCTCAGAAACACCTTATGATTCAAAATCCTCACAGAAAAAAGTCAGGGAAGGATTTAAAAAAAATGTTACATACGATTTTTCACAGGCTCATCTGTGGCTCTGTGTGGGTCAAAGAAGATTAAGGGCTCCTGGAAATTCAAAGGCTGATTACGTCAAATCCTATCCCAGGAGCCAAGAGGGGAGCATGCACCACAGCTCAATATTCTGTGCACAAGCCAGGAGCTTTTAGATAAGCATTTCAGGGGGAGCTAACAGAAGGTCAGGGGCTTCCAGAAAGCTACGACTTTAAAACAAATCCTCTGAAGTTCAGAGAGCTGAGCTCTGCTCACGGCCTCCAAACCCAGTAGCTCCCTCCCTAAGGCTGTGGCCTGGCTCCTGCCTCAGCTTGGACATGCCAGCCACTGATGGAATCGAATTCCTTCCTGCAGCCTCTGAGGGCCGAGAGAACTCAGAAAGGACAGCCTGGGAGGCTGATCATCTCCTGACTCTTGTCTTCCTTCCTGGCCCCTCCTCCAACCTCTGCTAAAGGTGAGGAGGTGAGGATGTGTGTGCACTAAATGGGGAACAAATTAAGTGACAGCTTAAGTCTTGTAATGGGTCAGGCAGGCGGTGATGTGAGTGATGCATCTTCAAGACGGTGATTCATCTTCTCTGTCTCCAGAGAGGATGGCAACTCGTCAGAGAGAGAGAGGAGCACTCTGTGAGGATGGAATCGGGAAGTCTGCCCCTGCAGCCTGACCCTGCTCAAGGCCTTCAGAAGGTCCCCCAGGGCTTGAAGTACCTGCAAAGAGCAGGATCCTAGGAGCCAAAGGAGGCGTCAAAAGCCTGGACTTCTTTTCTACATTGCACAATAATATGCATTGTGTTCCTATTGTGCATCAGACACATACTCGTTTAAACTCGCCATGGTCCAGCAAGGTAAGGCTTATTATAGGTGGGGAAATTAGGGCTCCAAGAGGTTACAATGACTCTCCCAGGTGTCATGTAGAGCCTGAATTCACCAGCAGATAGGGATTTCTGACTACCGCAAGACTGTTGGTTTATTTGATCTGACCAAAGAAGTCTTGGCTGAGTCTTAAGCACATGCAAATGCACCTTCCCAGGCACGGCCACCTTGTTCCCTAAGACAGCAAGCTTTCAGGGCTCCAGAAAAAAAAAAAAAGTCAAAAGAAAAGCTTCTCAGAAAATTGGTCAAAACCAGCAAATAACAGCCAGGGGTGAGCTTATGCTGTCTAGACTCAGCCAACAGATGTGGGGCTCAGCAGTTGGCCTGTGCCAAGCTCACAGCAACCTGCCAATTCCAAACTGGCAAGTTAAGGGCTTTGTTGAAACCCACTGCTCATGCCTCTGTGTCAGACTCTGAGGTTTTTGTCTTTCTAAGGCCCACCCTTGCCCTTGGTCCAGGAGGTGGCATTCATAGGGGCTGCCCTCCTTCAGGCTTTGCTACCCTTAAATCCCAGTGCTCGCACTTGTCCCTAAGTCATTCTGTGACAGCTAAGCCAAAGGCCCCCACTCTGCCTAATCCCTGATGGTTGAGGTTGTCTCTGCCTTCCTGGGCAATACATTCAGTTTACTTTTTTCTTCTTTCATCAGTTGGTTTGCATTGAACTACTGCCTAATTAAACTGTCCTCTCCAGCTTCATCCCTCAAATCTAACCTACTTATCACTGGCAGATTAAATTCACCAAAGGTCAACTTTGATCACGTCAGCCCCTACGCACAATCTTTCAACAGGAGCTCCACTTTGCGCAAAGTTACTTCTTATTCCAATATTCACAACACTGTTCATTCAAGCCAGACAGAGCTACCTTGCTTCCCCTGAGGAGAGAACACATCTCACCAACACTGGGCATTTTGGTCCACATTTCTGGAGACAGGGAGACCTGAGTCCTTTGGGGGAGGCTCAAGGACCGCCTCAGGAATAGAAGAAGTGAGCCAGTGTCCATGAGAATATCTGAGGTGTCTCTCCCAAGGGAGTCGGTAGCCACAGACCAGGACCAACGACTGTGCAAATCCTGGGATTCAGGAGCATTTTCTTCTCACACATCTGTTCTCTACATTCATGTCTTTTTCCAGAGGAAATCCCTACAACAGAAACAGCTACAGGGTGGCAGTGTCAGAAGGATGAAGTGGCAGGATCCCACTCTGAAGCATGTGGGGGAGTCCCCAAGGGAGGGAATGGCAACTGAAGGGGAACAAACCAGGCCAAATGCCTGGGGCGGGCAGGCAGGAAAAGTCAGCCAGGGACAGACAAATGGTCCCACGGCCCAGATATGGAGCAGGACATCCAGTGCTGGAAATTATCTCAGGACAGCAGTAAGTGCTCTTTGACTGTACGTCGGATGAAGAAACAGATCCTGAACAAGGGAAGAAATCTTCCGCCGCCTGCCCGGCAACTGTCCAGTGCTGGTTTCCACAGCATCCGGGCCTCTACACCATCTTCACCATGAGAAACACTAGCCACCTTGCTTCCAAGGGCTCTGCCAGCTCTGGCGTTCTATTTTTTTTCTTTTTCTTTTTTGTTTTCCCCTCGTCTGTACGACATGGAAATAAGTCCTGGGAGGATGGGACCATTTTGAGGCTTGAGAGCACACGTTCCCAAGTAGGTTTTGGAGCAGACTTCATCTCACCGAGTAAAAGTGAAGTGAGAGATGAAGGTGATATGTGTTTGTGCTTCACATGTTCCTCTATTTGCTTTAGATGTAGACAATATTTAATAGCACATGCAGCTTCTAAATCCTCCTGGTATTTCTGGAGCTGAGAATTACTGGAGGCCTCATGTAAAAACTTAGTCCAAATTGTTTTCTTTCATAAGAAAGCCAATGACAAGGAAGGACGCAAACTTAGGCAGTCAGTGACCTTGACCCTCTGTTCTTCTCTGCCTATAAATGTGTAATTGCCATCCTCAGAGCCAGAAATGAAAAGGGATGTCAAGGGTAGTTTGAACCCCAAAAGTGACAATGTCATGTGCTGGCTTGAAGCTGAGTATTGGGCAATAATGACCCTAATTTAGTCTGGTTTCTACTTATTATTACACAGGCTGTTAATTGAAACAGAAGAATGAAAATTGCTGGGAAAAGGAAGTGGAGAAACAAAATCGCTCCAGGAAATTGGAAAATAAGTGAAATGAACAATAATTCAGCTAAAATAACTATCAGGAAAGGACAGAGAAGAAAGGGAGCACAAGGTCTTATCCAGGAATTCACAGGAAGCCCGTTGGCAAGGTCTTGTTTGCATCTCT